ATTTAAGAGAGATTGGTGTTATTTATCTCCTTAAAATAGAGAGAGGTTGTGGCCCCTATTTTTCTTCATAGTAAAATTCTTCTCTCCCTACCCGTAGTTTTTATCCTAAATTTATTAAGAGGTTTTCCACGTAAATTCTTGTATCTCTGTTTTGTTATTTCAGCTTATTTTATCAGCTGCAATTTTACTTTATCGGGCTTATCAATTTCCCAACATGAAATATCTTCGAAAGTCAAATTAAGTAACTATAAAAAAAATGGCTTATGGAGCGCATAAACTTCTAATAAAAATTAATGGATGACGAGAGATATTGGGCAGATGTTAGAATGGTCCAATATATTAGGATAAAGAAGTGAGAGGTGTTAGAAGAAAAGTCATGACATTGGTGTCATCTATGACATATTTGGACAACTGTGTGGAAGTCTATACACACACTAATTGAAAATGAAAGGAAAGTTGTTGCAATCTTGGCTTGGAGTGGCTGAAAATTCCTGAACTCAAATCATCCTAGTGGTACGTCAATTTGATGGAGACCCCAATGAATTGCTAAGGGATGACACGCATGTTAAAGATTCACCGCGATCTTCACCATAGGATTTTGGTCATGTATTACTATCTACTCTTTATTTTTTATGTCGAACATGATTTGTTACTTATAGTGCTGTAATTAATAAGTAAAGGCCGGGGATAGATTTAATAGTTACCAGAAAAAGGGAATGATATTAAAAATCATACACCAATCCATTTATTGAAATGAAAGAAAGTCTAGAATTGGTGTAGAATGAAGAGAAATAGCTAATCCATTAATTTTTCTTAAGATATTTCTCACTAGTTAAGATTTTATTAATTTTGGTTTTGAAAAATTTCTTTCTTCACCATCTCATATTAGTGGCGTGCTCATTGTTTATTCCGTGAATTTTAAGTTTATGACTAAGATTTCTCCCATCTTACCTCTCTTCTAGAATTAGAATTAAACAACTTGCAATAAAAGTAAAATGCTTTGTCCAAGTCTTTAAAATAGACTAACCATCTTCTTTCATACTTCTACTTGTTTGTCAGTTTTGAAATATAATGTTTTGTAGAAAACAATATCTTGACAATTCATCTTTTGAAAAATCTATATCAATAATTTTGCTAATAAGTCTCTCAAATTTGTAATAATATTATTCCATTGACTTGAATCATAGGTAATTTTAGGAATGTAATAATTCAATTTATTTACAAGTTGGTCTTCTTGGGATTTAGTATCAAACTTTTCATTAAATTCTTATTCCCATATTTCATTATTATCAAATTCAATTACATTACTAACTTGTTAATTTATAAAACACTCTTAATATTTTTGATTTTTTTTCTTATTTTTTCAAAATTTATCAAGAGCTCTTTTTAAATTGTACTAAATTTTCAATTGTTTCTTTTTTTTAAGCTTTGAATGACCAAATTCAAATTTTCTAATTAATATATTTAAACTTTTATGAATTGCAAATAATAAAATATTCCTATAAATAACCTAAATTTAAGATATTAAAATAGAATACAAAGAATGATTAAAATTTGAAACAATATAACTTGATTATAAAAACTAATTGTAATAAATATCATTTCATGAGAATGCCTCAATATTGGAAAAATATAGCCCCCTTAACCAAAAAATAAGTATTTTTTGTCCTATGACTCAAAGAAGAGGGAGATGCCGATGCAATAATAGTAAGTTGGAGATTTTGAATGTTATTCATTATGGAAAAAATAGTGAAAGTGGTAAGATTATAACTAAAATACTTAGTTTTAGAACGAAAAAAATTAATGTTGGAAATGGAACTTTGAAATGACTTCAATAAAATAGTTAGAATGTTAGTGAGGGTCTAGAGAGATAATGAGTGAGAAAAAATAAGAGTTGTTGAGTAAGTAAATATTAAAATTAAAAGATAATTATTTTGTGAAGGGCGGATTTTAGTTATAAGATGAATGAAAGAGAAACTAGGAGTTATGGGAGTTATGGGAAGGTGATTAGCTAATTAATATGGATAATACAAAAGTATATATGGGGTTTTGATTGTTATTATTTTAAAATTCATTTTATAAATTATTTAATAATAAATTATTATAAACCTAAAAGTTTGAGACCTAAAACAAGAGTTTTATTTTCTTTAATTGTAACAACAGTGGCAAGTTGTATTCATTTAAATGAATAAAAATATATCATGACTTGAAAAGAATTCGGTATTGGTTATCCGGGCGCACTTGTTTAAAAGAAAATTTTGAAAATATAGTAGATATTTGTTTAATATTATTAAATAAGAAAGATTATATTCATGTTTTCGACAATATTTTCTTTTTGATTAGAAGGAAAGAAAAACATTGTCTAGCTAGCTTTAATATTGCTAGGTTGAGTGGCTGTGAGCATAGAGGAAACTATATGTGGAACAAGTAACAACCGACCTAGGCTAATTATAACTCCACTCATCTCATATATTTCATTGCATGTGCCAATCACATAAACATGTAAAATAATAGAAGTACAAAACAATTTAATTAGTTTTTTGAGTCCACCTAAATAAAATTGCAAAACAAAAATATGGAGGGGATATAATTATTAATAAGTTAGGTGAGGGAAAGGAAAAAAAGTATATAATTGGGCTTAATGTTCCAATATGTTAGGATAAACAAGAAAGAAAGACACTATATAGTCCCTTATTTGTTTGTTTCAATCTTTATTCTTTCTTTAATTTTATCAAAACAATCTCTCAATGTAGAATAAATTTATCTAGACACTCAATTATAATATATTTTTTTAGATTTCCTTACAACATTGTATGATAAAAATATCTAGACATTTGACTATCATATATTTCTTTTTTATGTTTTTTTACCAAAACTTTATTTATAATTTTAAAATTTTAAAATTTTGTATAGTATTAAATTTTTTAATCTTTTACAGACTGTTAATATGTGTGTAAATTGAGCAAATATTTATAGAATAGAGCGAAAATAACAAAAAATAGAAAGTTCAAGTTGTTTATAATCTTTTTACTCTCTATTTATATGAAATTTTCAAATTATTCTTAATTTTAATTATTAATAAAAAATATGGTATATTTTTTATAATTTTAAGATAGTAAGTATCAAATTTATAATTTTAGGTGAAAAATAACAAAACCCTATTTTCATGAGCAAAATGCCAAAAAGCAATAACAAAAGAATTAAAAAACAAAGACAGTAGAAAGTAAACGAAAGATAGCGATGGTCAACCCTTGCTTCTGTTTCTAATGAACAGCGGTGATAACTTCTTTGCTACCCACAGCGGATAATAAATGAGTCTTGGCGTGAGCTCTCGGGCACCTCCAAGCTTAAATTCACGTTAGAAGTTTTGGATAGGAAAATTTGGTGTTATATATAAATCCCAATAAAATTGAAGTTTGTTCTTATGTATCTCTTCAGTTTTAATAACCAAGTATCTAAATTTACTAACATTCTCTAAACTCACTTTTTAAAATTTATTTTTTTAAATCATCTTTTTCGTACCTACTTTTTCTAAATTTAGTTTTTTGTCAAATAACTGTTTTTCTTTCATTAGCTAATATATCATTCTATCCACTTTATTTGGTGCAAATATATTCTATCAAATATACTGTTTATACACCAAAAGTTATTAGTTCAACTATTTGATTAATATGATCTATTTGGACAAATGCGTGGAAGTCTATACACGCACAAGATAAAAATGAAAGTTCATGCAAAGTTCCAAAGGAGGGTTGCGCAATCTTTGCAAGGATGGGTCAAAATTCTTGAGCTAAAATCATAGCAGTGCTCAGTACTTTTGACGGAGATGCTAGGATAATTAGTCAACGTTGAGGGCAGTCGCACCTTGGCATAGATTGGCTCAAAATTTCTAATCGCAAATCATCTTAGTGCGGTCAATTTGACGGAGACGCGAATGAATTGCTAAGGTTATCAGCCAATGTTGGGTTGTAAAAATTTCTAACTTGTCCAAAGGGATGACACATATGTCCAAAGTTTTACAATGATCTCCAACCACAGTGGCACCTCCTCCATATGACTACTATGTCCCTTTACTTCAACCCTTCATCATTGTTGTTGCTAATGCTGCCAACTGCTTCAATATTAGTCTGAAACTAATGAAGCCTTGTTGACCACGATGGAGGGGTCAAAGTAGAGGGGGGTGTAGTTGGTGACGAAGGAAGAGCCGTTGAAGTCAGGTAGGATAGAATTCTTGATGAGTGTTAGAATCGATGTTGGTATATGGACCAAAATTCTACTACAAATTAATGGAGCAATTTGAACAAATGGGACATGTTAGAGGACTAATGGATGACTTGACTTTAACAAAATTATAGTGCAATTTTATTAGAAGTCCATTTGAAATCACGTGATTGTTGGAAAACAAGGCTAGGGAAGCACGTGAGGTGTTTAGGAAGTGTTTGGAATAAAAAAATTTAAATTTTAAATATTTAAAAAAAATTTAAGAACTTTTTAGTTTAAGATTTCTTTTTTGTTTTAGAAAAGGTTTTAGAGATAAAATCTGAACAAGTCTAATTTAGAGTTTTAAATTTAACTAGAGTTATAACCTATAATTTCTGAATTCTGAGATCCCAAAAAAAAAAAAAAAAAATCGTAGATTGGATTCCTGGAATTTTGGGTATTGCCAAAATGTTGCTAAAATTCCTGGAGATTTAAAACCCAAAAAACTAAAAATTCAATGTTTCTTTTATTTATTATACCATTTTATTCATATACAGCAGACAGGACACCACCGAGAAAAGTGAGCTCTCACCAACATCAATCAACGCAATCCAAAGAAACCCGTACCAAACAAGAAGCGAAGCCATGGAAAGCATCATTACACAAAAGAATGACGAGCAGCCAGATCAAAGCATAAGAAATCCTCCAAAAGCACTTGCATGGCATAGATGAAATCAGAAGACGAAATTCACAGCTAAGCATAAATCCAACTCTCCACCAGAAGAAGCCATCGGAGCTGTTCAAAGGTGAAGAAGGCACCTCAATGATTTTTCCTTGAGCAACAGCTGAAAAGCTTCATTGATCTTGCTAAAGGGAAGCTCGTGAGTTATAAACTCGTCCAAATTAAGAACCTGCATAATAAGACAGTCAAACCTATTCAAGTGACACAGGTAACACAAAAGATGGAGGCGTTTTTACGTGTGGATGATAATTAAAATGGAGAAACTTACCCCACGCATGCATTCTTTGGCGAAATGAGGGAGTTGGGTCTTCCCTTTAACGTTTCCGAAAACTGATCCAATGATTCTCCTACCGTTGAACAACTCCATTGGATGGAAAGGAAGCATCCTGGGTGTTGGATGAATTCCTAGTATCACAGTTAACCCCATCCCTGGAACCCGAATATTTAGAAACAGCAAGTATTAATACCATTTGGCACCATCTCGCGCGTACTTCTATTTTAGTGTACATGTTTACATGAAAAGTAGGCACAGATGGTAAACATCTATGACAGTTATTCTTTTGGGAAGATTATCTGTTGAGACCGCTTGATAATTTTAATTATTTAAAAAGTTAAAATATAAAATATTTTTTTTTAGAGTTAAAAAAAATACTCAATTTAGAACATTTACATTTCTAAAATATTCTTATGTAATGACCCAGTTTCTGAAAATTTAAGTTAGAGGACCAAATTGCAAGAATCTAAATTTGTGGGGATCAAATTGAAAATATCACAGGGACCAGACTGTGAGGAACTAAAAGCCGAAGGGCTGGGTTGCAATTTGAGAGAAATTTCTGTCATGAACAGTGGACCCGAACTTTTCTTTGTCGAATCACCCACGTCGTGTGATGATTTCATCCAATTGCTCACGCCATTTCGAGTGTTTTTGTAGGCTTTACTAAACCCCTCAACCAATTTCTGTCTTCGAGCCAAGAGGAGAGGGAATTTTCAAGCCTTTCTGTCGACGGAGAACGCGGAGGGAGGCTGAGCTTTTCCGGGCTTTTGGCGGCTTTGCGAGCGTTTGGAGGTGGCTAGTTGGCTCGCCGGAGCTCGTGCGACCTTCAGGGTGGGTCGGACTGAGGTAGGCACCTTCCTGGTTGCTTTCTGGTTTTTCCAGGGGGGATGGGGGTGTTACAGGCACCCGGGTCAGAGACCCGGGTTGCCGGGTGAAAGAGACGGACCCGGAAGGATCCGGGTCCGCGTGTTGGGCCAGCCCAGGCCGTTCGGCCTGGGCTCAACCCAGTGGGTTGGGCGGCCCGCGGGCTTGAACCGCGGGCCGAGCCCAAAAAAAAAAAAAAAAAAAAAAAAAAAAAAAAAAAAAAAGAGAAGGGTGTTGGGCTGGGCCGGCCCAGTTGAGTGGGCTGGCCCAGACGGGGTCCGAGCCGCGGCTGAGCCGAGCCGAGCCGCTGGGCTGGCGGCTCAAGCCAAGCCGCGGCTCAAGCAAAAAAAAAAAAAAAAAAAAAAAAAAAAAGGAAGGGGTTTGACCGAACCGGCTGGGACTTTGACCGGCCGGTTCAGTGGCCATTTTGGCTTAGTTTTGGGAGGTTGGACGGTTCTGAGTTCAGGGGGATGAGGGCTATCAGACCAAGTGGGTTCGGGAAATTTTGGGCGCCCGGTTCGAGGTGAACCGGTCTCGGTTTGCGTGCCGATGCTTAGGATTAGGGTTTTGGCCCGGTTTGGAGCTGGTTTGAGTCATTTTTGGCCGGTTCATAGTGGTTCCTAGGGTTTTTGGGCCTTCTGAATCCGATTTTGAGGGTTTCGTGGCCGTTTGAGTTGAGTCGGAGATAGTTTTAGATCGGGCTAAACCGGTTCGTGGGCTTTGGAGATCGGTTCGTTGCGGTTCGAGTTTTGTGGAGGCTGGTTTCGTAGTTTTGAGGGTGGTTTAGTAGATTTGTTCAGTGTTAGTGAGTCGCGTAGGTTCTGGTGACAGGTCGGGTTGCCTCGAGATGCGTGCCCGGGGGCCGGTTTGGGATTTTAGTTCAGTTTGAGGCTACCGAGCCTGTTTCTTGTGCCGGTTTTGGCGTTGGTGATGGTTTTGTGTGATTTTGATTGCAGATTCGCAGGCAGGGGCACACTCGGATCACTGAGTCGGGTTAGGTGACTCGGGACTCTCGTTTGGCTTAGCGTCTGTACTGTGAGTGATGATATCTTCTCTATGCTTGTGTTATCATACTGTGATTTCTGATATGATGATTTTGTGTGTTGAAAATTGTGTTTTGATTATATGTTACTCGGGTTATGTGCTACGTGTTTTGTGAACTGTTGGGGAGTCGTGTCGGTATGTGATTTTGGTTTTGAGACATGAACTGTATATGGGCTGTATATCTGTTTGACTTGGATGTGAGGATGGTGTGCTGTGATGGGATTTGTGGACGGCAGGAACTCGGCTAGAGTGCGGTGATCCATAGCGTCCAGTAGGTGAGTCGGTCTGAGTCCGTGAGGGGACGGCAGAGACTCGGCTGGAGTGCGGTGACCGTAGCGTCTAGTGTGGGGTAGGCCTGAGTCCAGTGATGTGATTTGATGTTGGCTGATAGCATTCTTGAGTGTATGTTGATATGTTTTACTGATCGCTGTATGCTTAAGGTTTTAGACTTGTGCTATGATATGTATCTTGACATGCATAGATTAGGTATCATCCGTACTCACTGAGTTTCGCGACTCATAGTTTTAAACATTCCAGATTCTTTTGACTGTACTCACCTCGGTTAGCGTGCCAGCGTGGGAGTTGACGACAGCGGACTCGATGGATGTACGGGCATTTCTCTTTTGTACTTTACCTGATTGTATTCTAGAGTAGCTTCCTTGTACTCTCAGACAGGATCCCGGGTAGTTTTTGGATGTTATATTATTACACTTTGTGTATATTTTTATATTTGGAGTTTGACTAGTTTTGTTGAGGCTTACTGGGGTTGGTGGATCCCAGTGCCGGTCACGGGCCCGGGGTTCGGGGCGTGACAGAGTGGTATCAGAGCTATTGGTTTATTCTGAGAGTTATAAGGGAGCGGGGTTCTTTGGTAGTGCTTTTATTATGAGGGTGAGGGCCCCACTTTCATAATGAAAGGACTGCCGAAGACCTTTTAGGGTGTGTTTTGGTGTTGGCTTTTCAAATTCCTTGTGTGCCCGATTCTTTTGGTATCCTTTTGATCCTCGTCTTTTGTACATAGATGGACTCGCTGAGGGACGTATCGGTGACGATGGACGGGATGCCCATGGATTCTTGCGAGGCCGCTGATGCTGGGGTGTTGAGGGAGGCCGCAGGTGGGTCGGCCCCACCCCCGACTAGTGGGAGAGGACGCGGGAGAGGTCGTGGGAGGACCGTTAGGCAGGCTCGAGAGTCGGCTGCTAGACCGAGTGTGACTGTACCGGTAGACTTATTGACCGGACTTATAGCAGAAGTTCGGGAATTACGGAGAGAAGTAGCAGATCTTTCTGGAGGTGGTGCAGGGGAGAGGAGACAGCAGGCCTCGGTTGGAGGACAGCAGGCCTCAGTTGGAGGACAGCCGAGCACAACGACTGCACCGGAGGGAGCGGTGCCAGAGGGGCCAGCCCCAGCTAGTACACCTGTAGGGACCCCGACCGTTTCAGCGACAGCAGTCCCGGTAGCACAGCAGACAGGGTTCGATGGTTATTTTAGAGATTTCTTAAGATGGATCCCCCCACTTTTACTGGAGTAGGGATGCAGGAGGATCCGCATGATTTCCTACATCAGTTGGACGATTTGTTTCAGATCTTGCAGTGTTCCGAGGCGAGGCAAGTGCAGTTGACAGTTTTTCGTCTCAGAGGTGTAGCTCGATCGTGGTACGACCGATTGATAGAGATGAGACCGACAGGTGCTGCCCCCTTGACTTGGGTGGAGTTCCGGAAGGAGTTCCTTGAGCGATTTATGCCTAGCAGCAGGATGGCAGATTTGACCTCGGAGAGTTTGAGAGACTGGTGCAGAGACCGGGGATGTCAGTGACAGAGTATGAGCAGCAGTTTACTCGTTTATCTCGGTATGCTACCTTCCATGTTACTGATGATAGGGCACGAGCCACGAGGTTTATCAGAGGGTTGTCAGATTCCTTGTTCAGTTCTATGGGATCACAGATAGGGGCCATTAGTTATGCTCGTGCAGTTGAGTGTGCACGCTCCTTGGAGGCGAGGGCAGTATCCGGACATATTCATGAGGGTCCAGTTAAGAGGATTAAGACGGATGGCTCTTTCAGTGGTAGCAGTTCTAGGGCGCGATCGCCGTCTCGTGATCATCGACGATCCGAGCATGGGAGTTCGTCTGGGAGGCAGTTGTCAGATAGTGTTACCACATCGGGTGGTCATGATTCTTCGGGCAGACAGTCAGTGACCTGTTTTAGATGTGGCCAGCAGGGCCATGTGATCCGGCATTGCCCGCTTTTCTGGGAGGTTGCTAGAGTGACAGGGGCATGTTTCAGATGTGGCCAGCAGGGCCACGTGGCTAGAGATTGTTCACGGGAGCTTGGCGGGATGATGGGAGGTTGCTATCGTTGCGGCCAGCAGGGACATTTGGTCATGGACTGTCCCATTGCAGCGGAGACTGTTTTAGCTGCAGGCAGTGTGCCACGGACTCAGGGACAGATTGATGCAGGGCCATCTGGTGCTTGGGGACGAGGGACTGGAGGCGGAGGTCGAGGTAGAGGCCACGCGCGAGTGTATGCACTGACTTATCAGGATGGTCAGGCGTCGGATTGCGGCGATCACAGGTACGATTACAGTATGATTCTTGGAGACTTTTGCATTATTTGATTTCGGCGTTATCTACTGTTATGTTTCAAAATTCGAGGACGAATTTTTATAAGGGGGGGAGAATGTAATGACCCAGTTTCTGAAAATTTTAAGTTAGAGGACCAAATTGCAAGAATCAAAATTTGTGGGGATCAAATTGAAAATATCACAGGGACCAGACTGTGAGGAACTAAAAGCCGAAGGGCTGGGTTGCAATTTGAGAGAAATTTCTGTCATGAACAGTGGACCGAACTGTTCTTTGTCGAATCACCCACGTCGTGTGATGATTTCATCCAATTGCTCACGCCATTTCGAGTGTTTTTGTAGGCTTTACTAAACCCCTCAACCAATTTCTGTCTTCGAGACAAGAGGAGAGGGATTTTCAAGCCTTTCTGTCGACGGAGAACGCGGAGGGAGGCTGAGCTTTTCCGGGCTTTTGGGCGGCTTTGCGAGCGTTTGGAGGTGGCTAGTTGGCTCGCCGGAGCTCGTGCGACCTTCAGGGTGGGCGTCGGACTGAGGTAGGCACCTTCCTGGTTGCTTTCTGGTTTTTCCAGGGGGGATGGGGGTGTTACAGGCACCCGGGTCAGAGACCCGGGTTGCCGGGTGAAAGAGACGGACCCGGAAGGATCCGGGTCCGCGTGTTGGGCCAGCCCAGGCCGTTCGGCCTGGGCTCAACCCAGTGGGTTGGGGGCCCGCGGGCTTGAACCGCGGGCCGAGCCCAAAAAAAAAAAAAAAAAAAAAAAAAAAAAAAAAAAAAAAAAAAGGAAGGGTGTTGGGCTGGGCCGGCCCAGTTGAGTGGGCTGGCCCAGACGGGTCCGAGCCGCGGCTGAGCCGAGCCGAGCCGCTGGGCTGGCGGCTCAAGCCAAGCCGCGGCTCAAGCAAAAAAAAAAAAAAAAAAAAAAAAAAAGAAGGGGTTTGACCGAACCGGCTGGGACTTTGACCGGCCGGTTCAGTGGCCATTTTGGCTTGGTTTTGGGAGGTTGGACAGGTTCTGAGTTCAGGGGGATGAGGGCTATCAGACCAAGTGGGTTCGGGAAATTTTGGGCGCCCGGTTCGAGGTGAACCGGTCTCGGTTTGCGTGCCGATGCTTAGGATTAGGGTTTTTGGCCCGGTTTGGAGCTGGTTTGAGCCATTTTTGGCCGGTTCATAGTGGTTCCTAGGGTTTTTGGGCCTTCTGAATCCGATTTTGAGGGTTTCGTGGCCGTTTGAGTTGAGTCGGAGATAGTTTTAGATCGGGCTAAACCGGTTCGTGGGCTTTGGAGATCGGTTCGTTGCGGTTCGAGTTTTGTGGAGGCTGGTTTCGTAGTTTTGAGGGTGGTTTAGTAGATTTGTTCAGTGTTAGTGAGTCGCGTAGGTTCTGGTGACAGGTCGGGTTGCCTCGAGATGCGTGCCCGGGGGCCGGTTTGGGATTTTTAGTTCAGTTTGAGGCTACCGAGCCTGTTTCTTGTGCCGGTTTTGGCGTTGGTGATGGTTTTGTGTGATTTTGATTGCAGATTCGCAGGCAGGGGCACACTCGGATCACTGAGTCGGGTTAGGTGACTCGGGACTCTCGTTTTGGCTTAGCGTCTGTACTGTGAGTGATGATATCTTCTCTATGCTTGTGTTATCATACTGTGATTTCTGATATGATGATTTTGTGTGTTGAAAATTGTGTTTTGATTATATGTTACTCGGGTTATGTGCTACGTGTTTTGTGAACTGTTGGGGAGTCGTGTCGGTATGTGATTTTGGTTTTGAGACATGAACTGTATATGGGCTGTATATCTGTTTGACTTGGATGTGAGGATGGTGTGCTGTGATGGGATTTGTGGACGGCAGGAACTCGGCTAGAGTGCGGTGATCCGTAGCGTCCAGTAGGTGAGTCGGTCTGAGTCCGTGAGGGGACGGCAGAGACTCGGCTGGAGTGCGGTGACCGTAGCGTCTAGTGTGGGGTAGGCCTGAGTCCAGTGATGTGATTTGATGTTGGCTGATAGCATTCTTGAGTGTATGTTGATATGTTTTACTGATCGCTGTATGCTTAAGGTTTTAGACTTGTGCTATGATATGTATCTTGACATGCATAGATTAGGTATCATCCGTACTCACTGAGTTTCGCGACTCATAGTTTTAAACATTCCAGATTCTTTTGACTGTACTCGCCTCGGTTAGCGTGCCAGCGTGGGAGTTGACGACAGCGGACTCGATGGATGTACGGGCATTTCTCTTTTGTACTTTACCTGATTGTATTCTAGAGTAGCTTCCTTGTACTCTCAGACAGGATCCCGGGTGTTTTTGGATGTTATATTATTACACTTTGTGTATATTTTTATATTTGGAGTTTGATAGTTTTGTTGAGGCTTACTGGGTTGGTGGATCCCAGTGCCGGTCACGGGCCGGGGTTCGGGGCGTGACATCTTATTATAATTTGTTTGTAATAATGGATATAAATATTTATCTATGCATTTACAAGTACAAATTTGTATGATTACAACTATTTAACTGTAAAAACTTTATGACAACTATTATATACATGTATTTATATATTTACAAGTACGTATTTTTATATTTACATGTATATACCTGTGTAATTATAAGTATGTATTTATAATTTCTTATAAATACATAGATATATACTTGTAATTATATTGATTTATACCAATAAGTATATAGATAGAAGTTTGTAAATATACAAATATACGTTTGTAATAATTATTATAGGACTTGTGACTACGTAGCTATATACTTATAATTATATAAGTTTGTACGTGTAATATATAGATATATACTTGTAACAATTATTATAAGTATATAATAACATAGATATTTCTAAATATCTTTAATTAAACAATTTTTTTCTTTCTAATCTTGAATAAAATTATTTTATATTTTAATCCTTTGAGTCATTAATCAATCAAACTGTCCTACTTGATAATTTTTTCTTATTTTTTTCCTGTTTACTTGGATTAAATAAAAAGAAAACAACTCTTTACTCTAATCCTTTATGAGTAATAATAATAATAATAATAATAATAATAATAATTCATTACTTTGGGCTATTTGACTTTGTACAGCGGTCACATGGGAGACCCCGAGGGCAGCCTCGCACCGTCCAATATTCCAATGCAATAATATAATTGCATACAGAACTTAGAAATTGGAATTGGAGGTCATGGCCATCGCGGCTTATTATGAATTAATGTCAACCTACTTAAATAATAATATTTAAAGAACGAGCGTTGGAGAGTGAAAATGTAAATGTGAAAAGGCAGGACATACGTCATGTGTGGACAGGAAAGCCTCCCTGAGAACATCCAGGTTCCCTGCACACTCGAAACTGTAGTCAACCCCGCCACCCGTTATTTCTGAAATTTTCTGCATCCACCACATCAACACTCAATTGTAAGTTTCCTGATTGTTACATCATTTGCCCATACTTCTGTCTAAAAGAATGATGCAAAGGTTGAGTTTGAAAATTGCTGACAAGAATCTGGAGATCTGCGTGCTTTAGATAGAAACTGTGCATTATTTTTCTTTAATAATTTACTGCACCAACCTCACGCACCGGCTTGTCTACGTCCTTGGGGTTAAAGAAATCCGTAATTCCCATTGCTTTCCCTACGTCCAACGAAAGATGTGGGTGTTAGAGTTGACAAGTAACTTTAAAATCCACTTAAATTTTATTTACAATATTACCTCATGACAACCCCTTTTTTTTTCTTTTTTCCAGCTTTGTCTTAGGGTTATATATTATATAAAAAAAAAGCTGAAACCTGGAGTACCGAAAAAATGCAAACGTTGCTAAAAGTGTCGAGGAAAATTTAAAGAATTTCCATATTCCTATTTCGTAGCCCGCAGATGAGTACCACAATGAATGAATTCCATTCTCCTTATCGTTTTCTATAAAACAAACCACCAAGCTTTCTGGTCCAGTTAAATTTACCTTTGGTAAATTTCTCGGAGTTGATGTCAACTCCTATGATTTTAGATGCTCCTCTGGCTCTTGCTCCTTCAGCAACCTGCCCCAGCCATGGATGAATGCGTTTAGTCTGTTGTATATGACTAATCATAAAATTAAAAATAAGCAGGTATAAATGAGTGAAATTATTCTGGGCGGTCAAATTTCTCAAACTTCACAAAGCAAACTGACGCTGACTCCATCTATCCACGATTTAATATGCAAAGAAACAAGATAGATTTCTAATCTCCTGTCAATTGTCGTGACGAATGTCTAAGTTATTTGATTTGTTCTTAGTTCTTTTTTCATTAAAAAGGTATTTAAGGGAAAACACATCTTAATTTGTTTCTTGATGTTGTACTTGTTCAGAAACTAGATCATCAGAATTAGCAATCTTGAGGGTTATCAAAATCCTTACATGATGAAAGCAAGTTGCAAGTTTGAGTAAATAGATCTGCAATATAATTTGCAATTGTTTTCTAGATTATGACGAGGTGAACGGTCAGTGAACTCATGTTTATGTGTTCTGTTGTTGTTACGTTGATGTGCATGATGCACGGATGATTATGATGGGTGCAAATATCCAGCAAACTTTTCGTGGACCATGTATATATCTTGTCTAGACGCCATCATTTAAATGGCGGAAGTTACTTGCCCTTCAGGCAAGGCCATCTACAATTAGGTTTGGTTACTTGATCATTTTGCTTTACTATCTGATGTGTGTTCTCACGCGGTCAAATTTAGTGAAAAAAACTTGACATAATAAGGGCCGTTTTTTATTTTTTATAAATTATGTAAATTAAAAATGAAAACATGTTAAAAAAATTTTTATTTTCAAAAAATAGCAACAATTTTTTTTAACTTTTTAAAAAGTAGAAACTTATTTTTTTGTTTCTTCCAAAACTATAAAAACAAGATATTTCCATTTTCATAAAAACAAGATAAAAATTTATTTTCTATTCTATGGAAGTGGAAAGCAAAAAACAGAAAACAGGATATGTTACTAAACATGCCTTCAATAATTAAGTTATTTTCTGTTTCGGATTCTAATACAGGATTAGAATAGATAAATGATCCTTGGAAGAAGGAACAGATTCAAATCAATGGTGCAAAGTGCAAGGAATTACGTAGCTTACAGCGAGTCCCACGGCACCCAAACCAAAAATAGCGACGGTTGACCCAGCTTTCACGTTAGCACTATTCCAAACCGCCCCAACTCCTTGAAACATGGTTAATTCGGTTCATCAGGACAACAATGTATGAGTCGTTAATTAGGTGCCCGAAGAAACGTACGAAATAGGAGATGGACTCTTTTTCTTACCAGTTGAAACTCCACAACTAAGCAAGGTCATCTTCTTGAGAGGAACTTGGGGTTCAACCTTGACAACACAAGCTGAGTCCAGGACAGTGTATTCGCTGAAAGTCGAAGTGTTGAGGAAATGGTAGATGGGTTCACCATGCTTGGTTGAGAACCTACTCCTTCCATCATTTACCATCACGCTCTTAAATGGATTCACCCTGAATTTCTCGCACAGATTGGTTTTCTCACACTTGCAGTAGACACAGTCCCCACACTCTCCGTTAAATATTGGAACCACATGGTCCCCTTCCTTCATGTCTCCCACTCCTTCTCCCACACTCTCAACAATTCTACAAACGTACAACTAACCCCAAGTTAAAAAACTTAATAGACGGATAATGAATAAATAACAACACCACAAAGAGGGAGCTAGATGCATTACCCAGAGGCTTCGTGGCCAAAAATACGAGGATATACTTGTTGATCTTCATTCTTTAATTTGACAAAGAAAGAAGTAAATACCCGTGGTTAGATCAGCAAAAGAATGAACTTGAGGTTTGGGCTTGAGTAAGTTGGCATGCATACCTCGCCTTGCCAGGCACTGAGATCAGTATGGCAAATTGAAGTGAAAAGGATCTTGATTCGGACCTCCATCTTCTGAGGGGGGTCAACGCGAACTTCTTCTATTACCAAAGGCAGTCCGGGACCCCACGCAACGGCCGCTGTATTATTATGGACATGCATATTTACAACCACAATTTTAAATGACGATTAACAGACTGCTTGCTAATGTAATTACTAATATTACATCAATCTCCTGATTTCAGAAACATCGGTGGAAAACCGAATCTCTTACCTTTGCAAGTTATGACCTTCCCGGCCATCTCAACTGGCATGGGCCCAGTTTTGTCCTCAATACCACCCATCTCTCACTCTCTCTCTCTCTCTCTCTCTCTCTCTCTCTCTCTCCTCACAACTGTTAACCCCTCGTTTTGAGTTTTCCGGGCTGAAAACACTAGCGATATTTATAGTCTTACAAGGCATAATAATTAAAGGCTTGTGGGGACCACATCCATCCACAAATCAATAATATTTTAGTGAGGCGGCTCAATGTATGCAGTCAAACCAATAATATACCAATTAACACGGAAAAAATTGAATTGACGGGTGATAATCTTTAAAAATAATCTATTATTTTTCGTCATAATTTTCTTAAATTAATTCGACTATAAGCATGTTAATTTTTGGTGAACTAACCAATTGCAATCACGCACATATAGGTGCAATTAATAGCTTAAATTTTAATATCCAATCTAAATTTGATTCAAATTTTAAAATTTGAATTTGATTAAAATATTTGATAATTAAATTTAATTATAAATATTTATAATTCAAAATAAGTGAATTAAATATGGAATTAAATAATTTGATTTGTTTAAAATTTGAATTTGACTTTTAATAATATTTTTATTAAATTAATAATTTTATATTTATAATATTAATAAATTTAATTTTGTAGAGACTAATTAAGAAAATTAGAAAATTAAGAGATCAACATGTTTTATAGAATAAAGTTAGGAGATTTAAAGGTAAAAAAATATTATTTTTTATTAGATCAGATTTTTTTATCAAATTTGAATATGATTTAACAGATATATATCTTATAAAATCTCATATCATATTTACATAAAAAAAATAATTAAATTTAAATTTAAATTTAACTAATATAAAATAAATCTGAGCCTCTTACAGTCCCGTCACCCACAAGAGACAAACGCATTCATGTTTTAATTAGGTTGACACAGTCACACGGGAGACGTTCAAATTGAACCCAAATTCCCCCTTTTTTGTCTTTTCACAAAACAGGTTTTATGCGTAATTTATGGAAGTGGACAAATTGAATATAAACTGGACAACTGGATGCGATGAGCTCCTCCCATCGAACCTTTTTCAGCACTTCCAATACGAAGTTGACCAAGAGGCTGTCACAGCCCCACCCCAAAACACAAAAGCAAACGCAATGTTTTGTTTTTCAAAGTTTATTTTTTAAAGTTTACTTAAATTTTATATCCTAAATAAATTTAAAATTAATTTTAAAATAATAAAATAAAAATATAATTTAAATAAAATTCCTAATTAATGTTAAATCATCCAAAAAAATCCTTCCGGTCTACATAACTTAAAAGACCAACCATAGGTCACATACCAGGAGTAAAAAAATATATTACTTTTTTTATATTATTTTGTAAAAAATATTTTATGAAATACCTTCATAAGTTAAATGAAGTAACTATAAAAAAAGAGCTTACAGAGCATTAACTTTCAACAAAAATTCATGACGGGGAACAATGGGGAGAAACTACGTGGAAGACTTGAATATTCAAGTCGTTGATATATTGTTATTATTTTTATACTGCAATGACTTACTGTGCTGAGTCAATTTGATGGAGACACAAATGAATTGCTAAGATTCTCAGCCAATGTGGGATTGTGAAAAATTCTAAACTTGTCCAAGGGGCAAACGCGTATGTGGAAGACTTAGAATGATCTTCACGGATGATTTTGGTCTCCTTTCTACTTTTTTACTGTTTACGCTGAACATACTTGATTACTTATAATATATTAAATTACGCATACTATAATTAATAAATGAAGACCGGCGTTAGACTCAATAACTTCGAGACGAAGTGAAAGACGTTATGCACTAATAAGTATTCAAATTTCTTAATAAATTATTTAAAAGAAATAAAGTCTAGAATTCAAGTAGAATGAAAACAGAGAGTTTACTTGTGCTTTTAAACGGAGAGTTTCTTTTATGTGTTGACGAAGTTGTGATTTTTTTTCTAAAAATTTGTGATTCATGTACCACATAAGAGCTTAGATTCTATGCTACTGATTAGGGGGTTGATTTTATTAATTAATTATTATGAGTCATGAAAATTTTACTTATTTTTGTGCTAACAATGTATTTATAAGAATAAAGGACCCAAATTTCCTAATTTAAATGGTGGGCAGGCAACCCAACTTGCTTTACAGAGTAAGGTTAAATAGAAAATGGTTTGGTAACAAAAAGTCTCAAAAGTTTGAGGTGCTCCAACCTCAGATTGAAAATTGGGTGTGTGTTGAATTTAAGTTTTCGCCAACTTTTTTATTTTTAAAAAAAATTAGTTAGACTTGACTCTCTTTTTGATAAAAAAAAAATGTCTCAAAAATTGTAACAGCGACCAAATTAATATCCTTCCAAAATAAGAATACAAAAACCAAATTAAATTAAGCATGGGCGCCTCTTTAGTCTCCTTCAATGCTTACAAGGTTTCTTTTGCTTTTAAAATTCCCACACCAAACCCATCTAGAGAAAAATAGGCCACAAGCTCACCCCATCTCATATTCTAAGCTCCCCGCTAGTCCTCCCCCATTTTACGGAGCCCATAACTCAAAGGACACAACACAAAACTTTTTTTTTTTTTTTCTATATCAAAACAACAACACAAGCAATAATTTTATTTTCAAAGATTTTGTATGTCTAATTTCTTTTTTTGTTTGCTTCATTATGAAAAATCTGAAAAATAAGAAAAAATAATTAACAAAAACCAGTTTTTTGAAATTATAACTTTTTAAACTTTTCAGGGTTTTTCTTTTTTCTTTAAACATTTAAATGGGAAAAGATAAATTGAAAAAAAAATAATTTCTTGTACTTTCATATATTTTTGTGATTAACAAAAAAACTGAATTTTTTAAAACAAATTAAGAATCGTAAAATTTAAAATATGACAAAAAGATATACAAAAAAAAACTTCAAACAAATGAAAAATTTCTAAACCATCCCGGCAAGAAAAGGCCTTGAATTTAATTATGAGTTAGCATACAATTCTATATATATTTTACAGGAAAACCACATAATATCTTAATTCAATAAATTACAAATTAATACTTTCCAACAGGAGAACGAGAAAGCACACATCGACAAACATCATGATCCAAGCTTCTCAAATGCCACCTTGCTTCATATCCCATTTACGAAACACCAAGTTGCTTCATATACACTTCCGACAGTGAACTTATAGTGAACACCACCAGTAGGAAAGCTTATTCTATCTTGGAAATTATGGAAGTTCAGCTTTTTTGCTCCTCATAGTTTCAATTGCCTCGAAAAGTCTTCACAAATCAACTGCGATTCTTTATAGTCAGAATTACCACAAAGATCAATCCAAGAATCACTCCACTTCTATATCTCAAAATTCTGACAGAATTTTGAGTATGTGTCTTGTTCTAAGGATGAAGGTGGAGGTGGAGGTGGCTGTAAACTTCCACATGGCTTTGACAAGGGTCTTACACAAAATATTGGATTCCTTCCATGTGAGCTGTTGTCAAAATTGCCAAATTGGGGCACTGAGGTATATGTCCAGTACGATTGTTATGGGAAACATAAAAAATAACCAGAAACGTATTATAGGTAAGCTGTCAAGGGATCTCCCTTGAAAGTACATTTTGAGATAGGACTAATGATTCCAGATGGAGATGAAGGGATGTGACAAGCAAGTACATTGTTGGACAAGTTGAGAGATCGAAGCCCCTTGAGATTTTCAAGAAACTCTGGCATCTCCCCTTTGAATTTGTTTCTAGATAGGTCCACGGCTACAAAGGCTGGTACGCTCCTCTTATAATTCCAAGGCATGCTTTTTCGTTGCGAGATAAAGGTGAGTGACAACCTATTCATAAGGGAAAATGAAATTTGTTTTTGAGAACTATATTTGAGAACCATGAAAATTTGGTTCAAACATAAATTGTAACCCATCCCTGTGCATTGTTTCATTACCTCCCATTTACGAAAGCATTTTAATGGCAAGTTACCTAAGAAACTTGCAAGAGAGGTCAATAATTCATAACTTTGAAAACTCTAGACTGATGATAAGATTCTCGATTCGTCCATGGAGCTTGTTACTTTGCAAAATAAGAACATGTAATTCAAGTAGAGTTCCAAGCCACACAGGGAATTTGTCATCTATGCAACTATTGCCTAAATTTACAATTAACTTCAAGCTTTGTGCAATTTGCCATTGATCTTGGTATCTTCCCACGCAATTGATTTTGATGTAGATGAAGCACCCTCAAATCAGTAAACATACTAAACATCCCAAGAATAATTCAATAGACGATGTTGAAACTTAGATTCAATAGTACCAAGGAATCAGCAATATTTGCCAACACATGAGGAAATTCTACCATTTTAGTTGTTATTAGACAAATCAAGTAGTTGAAGAAAAGCATTACTGCTAATGAATAGTAGAATCTCTCTAGTCAACATATTTCCTACAATAGAGTTGAATCAGGTGGATTTTGGAGGAAGGGGAAGTGACCCTTGTAGCCTATCGGAACTAAGGTCTAGAGAGGCTAGATTTTGCCATGGTAATAGGAAAGGATGCTTTTCAAAGCCAGTAAGATGGTTGTTATCAGCCTCAAATATTGTCATAGTTTTTTTACTTGATTTTCATAGCCAAATAGGTATTAGTCCCTGAATTTAGTTATGAGAAAGCTCTAGAATTGCCAACTCATCTTGGAACTCCAAAACCTTAGGGAACTTATTCAAATTGCACTTTCCTAAAAGAAAAAATTTAATCTTTGGCAAAATAACATTATTATTAATCTTCTTTGGGAGCATAGTTTGTCACACCCTGCCCATCTCTCTACTTTGGCGAGGCACAATAGTCGGGGCAATGACCAACACCTGTCGGTGACAAAAATTCGGTAGTATGCCGACTGTTGTAACTCGTTCTTCTAAATTTAACCTGTACCCCTGTAGACATGTATGCAATAATCTTTTGAGACTATGAATAATGTGCACTTAAACAATTCAGCATATATATTCCACACCCAAAACCTAAGCATGTCATCCAATGCAGCCACACACATATAAGCATACACATCACTTTCATTACTTGCCATTCAAAATTTATGTACAAAATCCCACCATACATTATATCCTTGCACTACAACTCTAATACTCATGCTATATGACTAAATAAGTGCAAAACAACAATTCCAATGATTCTTGCGAGCCCACCTCGACTAATGTGTAGTGCAGGCACGAATTGTGCTGGTCGGTGATGGGGCTATTATGTGAAATCTGAAATTTATGAATAAAAAGTGAGATCAAGTTTCAATGAATGGGACATAAATTAAACTTAGTAGAAATGAAGCAATTTTTAATTTCTTATAATATACATGTATATATATATATATATATAAACATCATCAAAAAAACTGCACAGCATGGAAATCATTAGTCAAAACATCACAACTAGTCTTTTGTGTCATCTGAGCATAAGATCATAGGATTAAAAGATCATAGAAAAACAAAATCTTTGTCTGATCAATGTATTCCATAACATGCTTAAAACGGAGACATAAAGATGTCAAAAGGATGATAAGAATCAAGATCATAAGCCATGTGGTATGTAGTCTGATGGAGTGTGCACAGTTCACAATATTATCTCTGAGGCTAGTAAAACATGAAAATATAAAATCATGAAGAGATATTAGATGCTACTACACTGTATAACTTGAGCCGTGGGTCACCACTCTAGGTTTGACTATATAGTATGTGGTGTCTAAAACCTCCCTAGGTCTAATGTCATAATATAGCTTGTAGGACTACCACCTACCCCAAATGGCTATCTGGCATTCAAGTCTAATTGTCGAAACACTAAAATGGCATAACATCATCAACATCACATATATACATTGAAAATCAAAATCTAAGCACTATGTTTCTATGTTTTACCATTCTGAACATACTCATGTGTTTGAAATCAAATTTATAGTCGTTCATAAGATATACATTTTAAGTTAGAAAATCTAAGTTTAAAAGATGTGCTACTCACCGAGTGATATACCCTATGCATGACTCGTGGGCTCGGACAGGCCGACATCAGGCTCGATTAGATCTCCCTCTTCTACAAGTGGAGAAGATGTACATAAGTGAAATATAATGCATGTATGATGTAAATACATGCAATATGTGATAAGCACCTAATTTCATAAGTTTCTCCTCATAGCCTCTGGAATTGGGTGCTTTCTTGACAATCCTAAGCTTAAGTCTATGTGAGCCATCATTGACTCCCTTTCTATGTTGGTTTAGGGCTAAAATCTTGCCCTCTATGTGGCATGACCAACCTAGTTTAGGTGCTGTCACGAACCAACAATAGTTGCCAAACACGGGGAATTTTGCCACTTAACCTATTATTAGACGAATCAAGAAACTAAGGAAATTATTAGTGCAAATGGATGGTGTAATCTCCCCAATCAATATATTTCCTGAGACAGAATAGAAATGGGTGGATTTTGGAGAAATGGGAAGTAATCCTTGTAGCTTGTTGAAACTGAGATCCAGAACGACTAGATTTTGCCATGGAATGACAGTGGGATGTTTTTCAAAGCCTGTAAGAAGATTGTAACCAGCCCAGAATGTTGTCATAGTTTCTTTGCTTGAATTCCAAACCTAAGTTGATATCAGGCCCTGAATTTGGTTGTCAAAGAGCTGTGGAATTGCCAACTAATCATGGAACTCCAAAAGCTCAGGGAATTTCTTCAAATTGCACCCTTGTAAAAAAAGAAATTTAATCTTCGGCAAAGTAACATTATTAGCAATATTCTCTAAGAGTACACTTAGTGTGTTATATGATAAGCCAAACCAAGTCAAATTTTGAAGCTTAAGAAAAACACTCAACTTGACTATACCACCAAAGTTATTTGTGCTAAAATTGAGGTATTCAAGATGCCAAAGTATATAGAATGAGTTAGGAATTGGGCCATGCAGTTGATTGTTCGAAATATCTAGAAAACTTAATTTGGTGAGATTCAAAAGCCTAGGTGGGGTTTTATTAACTAACTGGTTGCTATGGAAGTTCAAATGAGAAAGTGAAGTCAGATTTGAAAGAAATATTGGAATCTCAACCTGTAAATTGCAATGAGCAAGATCCAAATAAGAAAGTTTAGCTAGCTGACCAAGTGCTGGTGGTATTGGACTTGTGACAAAATTACTATAGATAAGTGATAAATAAGTTAACTGTGACATGTTTGCGAATGACGGAGGTATATGACCAGAAATATTATTGCTTGAAAGGTCCAAATATATGAGTTGGGTTAAATTACCCAGTGAGTTAGGTAGTGTGCCAGAGAAATGACAATTGCTAAGGTCCTAGACCTTAAGGGGACTTCTATTGTGCAATTCTGCCAAATAACCAGACAAATATAGATTTTGGCTGGCACTTAGAACTTGAAAGTTTGGTAGTAGGAAAATGACTCTGGGGAATTCCCCATAAAATTTAGATTTGGAGAGGTAAACATAGGCGAGCCTAGAAAGATTCCCAATTGCAGAAGGAATTTCAGAGTAATTGAAATTATTGTCTGCAAGGTTGAGTCTTTGGAGATGAACGAGTCTGAAGAGGTTACTACTAGTATTGATGGAACCATAAATAAAGTTGCTGCTAATATCAAGCCCAATCACATGACTTGTATCCATGTCACACTCGATGCCATTCCACAAGCAACAGTCGCCATACTCACTTTTGAGCTTCCATGTTTCCATTTTTGGATAAGCAGAAGGGTCAGCGGAAGCCAACATTTCTATTGATATGTCCTTGTAGCTTGTTGGAATTAAGATAAGAAGAAAAATTTGATAATATCAGCAACAGAAAACATTCTTTTTAAAAAAATCAGACCGATTTGATTTAACTAAATCATGAATGATATTGGCTGTTGATATGTTTTTAAATAAATAGAGGATTTTTTTTCCTACTCATCACTTTTTGTGAAGATTGGACCGAAAAAAGGACCATTCGAAGGTCCAACTGATCTAACCTACCGGTCCGGTCTGTTTTGGTATTTTAATCCTTGCTATAACGTCCATAATGGGTTTTTTCTTTCTGGGATGTAAAACTTAATGCTGGCACCTATTTTTAATTTTTTATAATTGAAGGCTTATTTGTCTAATTTTTGGGCCTTTTTATAACTATTATTGTCATTATTGTGTTTTTTGAAAATTTAGTACGAGTCATTTAGTTCTGCACGACTGTTATATAAAAATGTTGTGCTTTGAGGCAGAATGGAGTCATGAATAATATTTGTATTTGAGGCAGCACAAGTGGCACAACAATAATTTCTTGCTTAGATATTAAGTTCTGTCATCTATATTTGGGAATAACATGACACGGAGGCATCACACAAAGCAATTCCAAATTTGTTGTACAGGAAAGCCTCATAGTATATTAGAATAACGGATATATAACAAATACATCCAAGACGAGGACATGAAATTAGCATACATAAACACACGTGTACCCATAGAGACAAGAAATGAAAAAGAAATATATCAAGAAACTAGTTTAATACATCCAAGCATCTCAATGCATAGCCACCTTGCTGACAAGACCCTATGCATTCTATTATTCCAGATATCACTTCTCAGGAATTTTATGCTGCCATGGAAACTTTAAAAGTCTAGCTCATTTTTCTTCTTTTTTGCCTCCTTCCAAAAGTCTTCACAAACCAATAGTGATTCCTTGTGGTTAGAGCTTGCCCAAGGACCAATCCAACAATTAATCCACTTCCATATCCCAAAATTCTGACAACCCAATCAATTGTACCAAGGAACTTTGAGTTTTTTACTTGTTGCAAGGATGATGGTGGAGGTGAAGATGGCTTTAAACTTCCACATGGCTTTGACAAGGGTTTTCCACACAATCCTTGATTCCCCTCAAAAGAACTGTTATCAAAAGTATCAAATTGGGCACCTTCGGGTATAACCCCTGTAAGATTGTTATAAGAAACATTGAAAACAGATAGAAATGTGTTGCGGGTAAGTTGCTGAGGAATTTTCCCTGAGAGCAAGTTCTGTGACAGGTCTAGTGATTCTAGCTCCATTAGGTTACCTAGGGATGATGGGATGGGACCGTCAAGCTCATTGTTGGATAGGTTGAGTGATTGAAGCCCCTTGAGGTTCCCAAAGAATTCCGGTATCTGCCCTTTGAATCTATTGCTCGACAAGTCAATGGACACAAATGTCGTTATGATCTTCTCATAACTCCTTTCTGTTCCTTTGTTGACTATTTTTATTGAATACGAGTAAGAGAAGTTCCAATTAAATATGTAGTCGAGAACTTGCGTACTAAACGTGAAGTTCTTCACATACATGTATCCGAAATCAGCCTTGTAGACTATTTTCATTGCTTCCCATTCTCGAAAATAATTCAATGGCAAGTTACCTGAGAAATTATTGCAAGAAAGGTCAATGATTCGCAACTTTGAGAATTTTTTACTGATGGTATGACTCTCAATGCCTCCATTGAACTTGTTCCTTCGCAAAACAAGAACCTCCAACTCTGGGAGAGTTCCAAGCCAGGCAGGGAAATTATCAACTATATAATTATTTGCAAGATTTAGAATCTCGAGTTTCGTGCAATTTACCATTGATCTTGGTACCTTCCCAGATAGTTGATTTTGGCTTAGGTCAATCAAGCTCAAATCGGTGGACCTGCTGAACATCTCTGGAATTATTCCATGGAAATTATTGAAGCTTAGATTTAACATCTGCAAGGAACTAGCAATAGTTGCCAAACATGGGGGAATTCTGCCACTTAAGTTATTAGTAGACAAATCAAGTCTCTGAAGAAAATCATTACTACAGATGGATGGTGGAATCTCTCCACTCAACTTATTTCTTGCAACACTGTAGATACGAATGGATTTTGGGGAAGAGGAAGTGTTCCTTGTAACTTGTTGGATTCAAGTTCCAGGTACTCCAGATTGTGCCATGGAATCACGGTAGGATGCTTTTCAAACCCTGTAAGAAGGTTGTTACCAGCCCCAAAAATTGTCATAGTTTCTTTACTCGAGTTCCACACCCAAGTAGGTATTAGGCCTTGAATTTGGTTATAACCAAGCTCCAGAATTGCCAACTCACCTTGGAACTCCAAAAACTCGGGGAATTTCTTAAAATTGCACTCTGCTAAAAGAAGAACTTGAATCTTTGGCAAAGTAACATTATCAGTAATCTTCTCTGAGAGCACAGTTAGTTTGTTTAACTGTAAGCCAAGAAGAGTTAAATTTTGGAGCTTTAGAAAAGCACTGATCTCTATTTTACCACCAAAGTTATTTGAGCTAAGTTGAAGAAATTCAAGATGCTTGAGCAAATAGAATGAGCTAGGAATTGGGCCATGTAGATGATTCCCCGAAATATCTAGAAAAGTCAGTTTGGTGAGATTGAAAAGCCAAGATGGGATTTTATTAACTAACTGGTTGTCATAGAAGTTCAGCCAAGAAAGTGAGGTCAGATTTGAAAGAAACATTGGGATCTCACCCTGTAAATTGGAACTAGAAAGATACAAATAAGAAAGTTTAGCTAGCTGACCGAGTGCACGTGGTATTGGACCTGGGAAAAAGGGATTTTCACCAAGAAATAAAAAAGTTAACTGTGACATGTTTGCGAAGAAAGGAGGTATATGACCAGAAATATTATTTCTTGAGAGGTCCAAATGTGTGAGCTGGGTCAAATTACCCAGTGAGTTAGGTAGTGTGCCAGAGAAACTACAACTGCGAAGGGCCAAGACCTTGAGGGGACTTTTGTAGTGAAATTCTGCCAAATAACCAGAAAGACTTGGATTTTGGCTAACCCTTAGAAATTGTAAATTTGGTAGTAGGAAAATGCCTCTTGGGAATTCCCCGGAAAATTTAGAGTTGGAGAGGTAAAGATGGGTTAGCCTAGAAAGACTCCCAATTGCAGAAGGAACTTCAGAGTAATTGAAATTGTTGCCAGCAAGGTTGAGTCGCCGCAGATGAACGAGTCTGAAGAGGCTACTGTTGGAGTTGATGGAACCATAGATAAAGCTGCTATTGATGTCAAGCCCGATCACATGACCTGTGATCTCATCACATTTGATGCCATGCCACGAGCAGCAATTGGCACGCTCCCCTTCCATCTTCCATGATTCCATTTTTGGATAAGCAGAAGGGTCATCAGATGCAAACTTTTCAATTGAAAAACTAAGCTTGAATTGTAACAAGGCTGACCTCTCGTCTTCATGGCATAATGGCTGCACAGACAGGACTGGGTTAGTCACCAAAATGTGAGACAAACATAACACAAGAAAAAGCGAATGCATGGACATGTAACCAAACATATTTGACCACATATTGCCTTGGGTAATTTTGGATGAGTGAGCTTGCACCGGAGTGATATGCCTTTATAGAGAGTAACTAAAGAAGTCAAGTCAAGTAAATTTTAAAAAAAAATGCTTATGGAGCATAGACTTTTAAGAAAAATTAATGGATGGTGGGGACAACTGGGAAAGACTACAGGGAAGACTTGAATACTTAAGCCACTGATTTGTTGTTGTAATTACTATACTGTAATAATTATAAGGCTCAAAAAAGACGGCAAGCCTTGGATCAACGACCAGTCTGTATGTACTTAGAAAATTGTAAGTTTCGCACACTGTAATTAATAAATACAGACTAGGAATAGACTTAATATATTAATAAATAAATACTGAGGATAGACTTAATAACTATAAGTAAAACATGTAGAAAATTATGCACTAACAAGTACTCAAATTTTTTAATAAGGATTTATTGAAAAGATAATTCTTAAGAATTTATTGAAAAGAAGGAAAGTCTAGAATTCGATTGGAATAAAAAGAAATGGGAGGAAGCACGAACACGTACTTGTGTGGATTAATACTTTGTGAACCTGCAAAAGCACGCACATGAGATGGCACATGGAGTGTTTAATTTTTAACTTTATAATTAGGTAAGCATGTTTTACACTATTTTAGCATATAAATATTAGTGTTTTTATATTAGATTATAAAATCAAAAAATATTTTATTAAACGTGCAGTTATTTTGGATATTGTCAGGATTTTGAAGTGTGAATAAATAAATTTTATTATTTAGCATTTAAGTCCTTAGTTAATACAAATATTTCCATTTTTTGACTGACTTGTTATAATTTATTTTTATTTTTTATATTACTCTTTGAAAATTCCACCGTATCCCCAACACCAGGTTGCCCTAACTAATTACTGGGGGTTGGGTGTGAATCCCTGACCTATTACTGCGTGCCAAAACACGGCAGGTGACAAAGTGCCCCCACCAAGAAATGCGGTTAGCCCAATCCATACATAAGTTTCGCGAACTGTAATTAACAAATAAAAACTGGGGATATACTTAATATATTAATAAATAAATACTAAGGATAGACTTAATAAATATAAGTGAAATATGTAGAAAATTATGCACTAATAAGTCCTCAAATTTTTTAATAAGGATTTATTAAAAAATATTTCTTAAGAATTTATTGAAAAGAAGGAAAGTCTAGAAATCGGGTAGAGTAAAAAGAAATGCAGTTATCTAGGTTCCCTTGATAAACATAAGTAAATTCTAGTACTTGTAATACAACTGACTAATTTGGAAAAAACAAATAATGGTATGTATTTGCAAACCCATGTAACATGCCAGTCATATCCTCCTCCTAACCTCACTTGAGTAATTTAAAGTTTTTTTTTTCCCTATGAATGATTATTATATTTTTGAAACCAAATAAGTAAGCTTATAGTTAAAGGGAGTA